ATGTAATCATTACACAGTATAGATACCATACAATACTATATGTTTGGCTCTGTAATGGGGCTTAACCGGGCCCTGGGCCACCCCCAAACCCCGCTGCCCCAACTCAGCCCGCCCCAACGGGGCGCCCCAAAAATCAGCGGGGCGGGCATCTCTGCCCCAAACCCAGGGCGGGGCGAGCACCTCTGCCCCAAACCCCGGCCCAGCGGGCTTTGGGGCGGGTTCGGGGCGGGGTCACGGGGCCGTCCGTGACACTCTAAGAGTAGGTATCCCAGGGACCCCTTCAATAGGAATTAGCGTCTGCAGCTTCATGTCTAGCCTAGTAATTAGTTTTAAGCCTGAGATCACAATTCTTGCCCCTCTAAAGCTGCCTTGAATATTTTTTGCTGTCATGTAAGCTCTCTATGGAGCTTGCTGACTTCCAGTTGGAATGTTCGATGCTTTGGCCTACCAACCCATGTCCTCTGTAAGACCACCTTGACTGGGTGCTTCGTCATTTTTTTCTCTGGGTTTCTCGGCCGTCGTTTGGTACTCTTGTATTTACGCCTTCTTCATGGCACTTAGCATGACAGCAACAGTAATTCAAAGATTACGTCTACCTCTAGAAGACACAAGAACGTCTGCAGGAATCATAACAGTTGCGTTTATATTCCCAAACACCTTCATCTAATGTTTTTCGTGGAGACCATCAACCTGGATGTATACATCAGAGGTGCCATTACTCTAGTGCCAACAAATGACCTTGGGTAACAGCCAGGTTTCCCCTCTTAAATTCGTGAAATCGGAGTAACAGCTGGCATATCATTGACAAAATGCCTGTTTGATTCCATATTCTGTTTGCCACGCCATATATAACCTCGAGTATGGGGTTGGGGCGTTCCTTTTCCACGCTGGTATGGACATAGCCATTGTGATATTTGTGTTCTTCTATATCAAATGAACTTGAGATGTTGATTAAAGTGATTAAATAGTATTTTTAGACAGAATATGACGATGACCTGGTTGATGACTTGGTAGACAATGGAAATAAAGATCCGACACAGTCGAGACATGTTTGAGAGGGCGTGATTTGACTACATTGTATACAGTTACGGTTCATCGCTTATAAGCGACAACCCGTGTCTACCGACCCGATAATGACTGATGATCACAAGCAGAACAATATAAATACACTCAGTTAATCTCCCAGTCTCGTACGCTAGACCCGTCAATTCAAAATGGCTCCTTCACTTGTTGACACCATTTCCCCCTCTACACAAACAACCAACTCCAGAATCGCCTTTCCAGATGGCCTCAAAACATCCGGCCAGCACCCTCCTGTTTATAATGCGGTCCGTTCATATCATGAATTCCCTAAGAAGATCGTAGGTCCTACTGTCTGGAAAGCAGCGGACTACCGCGATAATCCAGGACGATGGATTCATCATTTCACTCCGGAAGAAGTGGCTGAGATAAATGCTGCGGCGAATTGGTTTATTGCTGCTGATATACCATTGACGGGTATAACCAAGGTATGTCTTATTTTTGTCAATTATAAATAGCACACCTAACATGTTTAGGATCTCTTCCCCCTCCCCACACTCTCATCACGAATGGACATCCTGCGTAATGAACTCATCAATGGTCAGGGCTTCTGGCTCTTTCGCGGACTACCAGTTCAAGATTGGGATTTGCGCAAGTGTGCCACTGCTTATATGGGATTGGGAACTTATCTCGGTTACTTTGTCAGTCAGAATGGACGTGGTCATGTCCTTGGTCACGTCAAAGATTTAGGTGAAGATCCGACTAAGACAGACAGAGTACGCATTTACCGGACCAATGCACGGTATGTTGCTATCGCATTGCTAAGGATAAGAGATACTGACGGAATAGGCAATTCTTTCACACCGACGGCTCCGACATAGTGGGACTTCTCTGTATCGCTCAATCTTTCTCCGGTGGAGAATCAGACATCGCTTCTACCCACCATGTCTTCAACGAGCTTCAGAAATCCCATCCAGATGTAGTTAAAACACTCGCCGAGCCAAACTGGTACTTGGACCGAAAAGGCGAAGTTAGCGAGGGCGAAGAACAATGGATAAGAGGAAGTATTTGGTATCTCGAGAATGATCCCAAGAGCCAGCGCGTTTACGCCAAATTTGACCCGAACAATGTGACCTCGCTAGCGAGGTTTAATTCTGGCCCTAATGCGGTTATTCCGCCGTTGTCTGAGGAGCAGAAATATGCTATGAAAGTGTTTGAGGAAACGTGTGCCAGAGTTTCTTTGCACATGATCCTTGCGCCCGGAGATATCCAGTTCGTGAGTAATGCACATGTTTTTCATTCCAGGACAGCATACCAGGATCATCCTCCTGGTGCAGTGGATGAGCACGGAAATCCGGTCAAGCGACGTCATTTGATGAGGCTCTGGTTGTCGACGCCAGAATCAGAAGGGGGATGGAAGTTGCCGTTTCACGATAGCGAGGAGAAAAAGAGGGGTGGGATTCAGGTTAACAATACGCCGCCTGTTTGTCCTTTGGATGCGGAGTAGCTCGGCCAAGCTGATAGCATATTTTATATTCAAATGTATTGATTATCATGAACTATCCAAATGGAAAGGTTGGCAACCACGAGTCTGTATTGCTATTTGGAACTCCCGTCCAGGGTAAGAGACAGGCTGCATCGATTTCAGATCCGACAGCTGTATCAGCGGGCTGCCATTCCCAGCTAAGATCTGACATGAGCAGCGTCTGCAAATCGTTAAGATAAGCCTGGTTGATATTACCGGCGTCCTGCACTACCTGCTGCTCTGTACAGTTGACACTAGATGAAGTTGTCTCTGGTGCATGTCGTTCAGGAACGGATTTTCTCGCCAGACGGTATATTGAAAGAGGATTCAACACGGAGTCAGGAGTCCTCTGTGGTGGTGTTCCAGGAGCTCTTGACCTAGCATACGATTCGACATTGACGTAGCTTCTCTCACGAGCGATGCCTGGGCTTTGTCCATCTTCGTCTGGTGACGAGTATGGATCGTCAGGAATGATATTGTTTTGGCGTACAACCTCAGACTCAATGCCGGAACGTCTTAACATGGTTTCCGCAACAGAACACTGACATTCGTTAGCGTTTATATCGCAAGGCATGGAAACCATACCAGTGATTCTGCAATTGCATTCAAAGACCGCATTTTCTTTAAGGCAGAGATATTGGTCTTCAGATGACCCAGTGTTTCCCGAAGCAAAGCTTTACTCTCCTCTGCCATTGGATCAATGATTTGTGTGCAATGATACACCATAATACGACAACTATCATACGTAATGATAGGAAGTCTTGAATCTGCTAGCATCGACTCTCCGTGATTTGCTGTCACGGCAATTATTCTTGCGAGGTTCTTCGCAGAGTCAAACAAGATCCTTTTTAAATGACAGAGGAAATCATGCTGTTCCGGAGGAAACTCAAACGCTGCTCGTAGTTTGTATAATGCTGGCGCACTCAGACGATACAAGTCGCACATGGTCTCGAAATGAGAACAGTGTAACACACAAAGAGCACCAAGTCGCGAAGTCGCTTTATGCATGTAAATAATATCCGGAGTAAACTGCAAGCTGGCAGGTAGAGATTCATACCACGCCCGACAGTCTGCAGTCAATATGGCAAATTCCGAGTCTGGCAACCACGGAAGCATAGCAAGATCCAGGTGTTTGATATACCACAGGACTCGCTTGCGAATGGCGACATGGCGGATGAAATATGCCATGATCCCCATATTCTGGGCTGCCTCGGGGTGTGACGTAACGGGAGCGAAACGCAATACCTGCCCAGGCTCGAGGAGCTCGGTAATGGAAGGTATTTGTTGCAAAAAGTTGTGATCATGGCAAGGTAGTTGGACTTTGATATGTTTCTCGTCCATCAAGGTGAGTTGATCAACTCCGCTGCCCACCAGAGCATCGAGAGCATAACAGCTCCACATTAGTCGACGACGGGACTCCTTTTCAGTGACCGAGAGACCGGTACTTTCTTTGCAGAGGATATCTGTGTTGTATTCCAGGTTTATCTGTAGCGCCTGTGTCATGCGAGTTGTCAAAGAGCTCAACATGAAAGCGTTAGCAAAGTGGCCCATGCGGAGGGCATAGTCATGCAGAAGAATAGTTGCCTGAGGGTCAGCACACTCTCCGATTGAACGACCTTGAATAGAAGCATACCATTAAATTGTCGATAGTCACACAGCCCAATTCTTCCAAGACCAGTCGTTGCGCTGTCTTGGCCCATGCACTCCCCATGTTAAGCACTGATCGAGGGGGGATTTCCTCAATTGTTTTACTATACTCGAGAGCATAGAATCTGTCTTATTAGCCTCCTGGAGAGGCTATAAAAAAGAAAAAGAAAGGAAAAGAAAACTTACTGAGCACCCAAGGCACAAATGATATGCAGCAGAGCATGTCTTTGAGACTCGCTAGCAAGCCCAGTATCTAGCCTCTGTAAAAATGACGGCTGATGAACGAAAGCAAAGCAACGAATCGGACTAATATTGCTGAAGTATTCTTGTACCAAGAGTCCGATTTTGACTGGATCTTCAGGAAGACTAGCTGTCTCCAGCCAATCCAGCGGTGAGGAGTTCTCGACCCTTTGCAGTGTTAACGCCCTCTGCGTTCTTGACAGCTCTGGCGAGGAGACCCTGCTGGCCTCGCGGGTCTGCACTGGACTCCAGCTTGGTTCGCCTTGTCGCGAGTCTGCCCTCCTCGTCAGGATATTAGTCCACCGGGGTTGAGTTTTATCCTCGTAGACGCAATTCGTCTGCTTCTGTTGGCAGCGATGACACTCTGGTTTTGATCCGCAGCATTTTGCTTTGGCAGTCCGACACGCAGTGCAGGAGCGATAGGTACGTTTTACCTTTGCTGTACGACTTTCTCCATGTTGCACCTGTGGACTAGATGCTGATACGATGCAAGTCAATTTCAATCTACGGCAGTTGTCGCAGCCTCCGGGTCTTTCGTCGCATTTGACCTGCAACGTTAGCACTTCTCTATTCGACTTATCCGGATGCTCTCTTTACCTTGCGGGAACGACAGGTACTGCAACCTACATTATAAGTATACCTAAATCATATAGTTTGGAACTCTCACCTGATTTAGATCTCAATCTCTTTGCTCTGGACACCTCTAGCCCTCTTTGGTGTTCCTGTTCCTGGCCCTCTTCCATGGTTGCTCATGCGTCGGATCATCGGGCGGGCGGTCGGCTAAATATGCGCGGGTCTCTTCTCCATTATTATTGCGCCATACTACGTACTCTTCGCGAAATCTGAAGCGGGTAGTTCAGGCTCGGGGTTTCGGGGAGTTGATAATCCAGACTGCACGAGGCTAAGCTATGTAGAGAACTGTATTTATCCGAAAATGGTGGTATTAATATTCAAGACTATTGTGGTAAAGTGTCCCCACACAAGGGCCATCGATGGCGCTGTCACCCGGCATTAGAACATCCGCGTAACCAGCACCATAGGGGTATTCTTCTTGGCTTCCTCATCAAATAATGAGTACTGACGCCGGACACCACGAGAAGGCGAGAACTCGTCACCCTGGAGCTGGAGGCGCGTCCTCATCAAACGTGCTCGTCGGAAGCGACTGAGGGCTTTGCTTATGAAGTTAAATATTTAGTGATATTCATGGCTCACAAGGAGTCATGCGCTGCCTTTAATAAAGAATTTTATCAAATGAAGCAACTGATACTGGTACCTAGTCACTTATAGCATATCAGTAGAAATGATTCCAAACCTCAATGGCTTTAACTTCGACTTGTGTACTCCAAGTGCCCCTCCATTTGCTTGGTTTGTAAACAGCCTTATCTTTCCCATCTAGAAAGTTCTTTCCTGACCATTGGCCAGCTGGCCTGTCCAACTTTGCCTCAGAAGATATCATGGACAGGGCTCAGCTGAAACAGTAGGGTACTATCATGGTCGACTTGGGCCTCTGGCTGAATGTCAGTGCCGTCGTAGGTAGTGTTAGCAATGAACGCCCCGAAAACAGCGTCTTGGGTTGCGCTTCGTGCAAGGCCTTGCCAGATCCAAGAAGGATTGGACCTTCTAAGGTATCAATGGTTTCAGCAAGGCTTGAGGCCGTATTGGTGTTATCGAAAGGGTTGTATTGGTAAGGGAGAAGGTCGTCCCAGGCAAAATTGCAATCAAGAATAGAGGCCAATTGAGTTAGCTTGTGAAGCGTAAGAATCTTTCCTGACACAGGAATAACCTGTTCAAGGTCGGCAAAGGTTCTTGGCTGTCCCAAAAGGTTAAAAGGTTAAAAGGTGCAGTATAAAATGACTCAAAAAGCAATGGTTAAGACAGTTAGTGGTGCTTACTTATGGAGGATACTAAAGGTTTAGCATACTACTGTTTTGGCAGCATCATCAAACATTGACCAAGTGATTCCTCAGTCTGTGATTCGATGGAATGATTTCACAATAGTCTGCGACACAGTCAAGCCCCGGGAGCTGCTCGTCTGGAAGCATATCACAGTGCCCAAACTGTGCGATGGGAAGCAATTTGACCAAGACATGAAATCTTTCAGGAGAAATAATAAGCTTACGAAGACTAACATCATTCCCATTAAGCTGCTTGACGATGGATCGAAATTCATCCCGTTCAACTGGTGCTAAGACTTCGCTGACCATTGGTTGGGTTGAGAAGACCACATCTTAGACATCATGGTATATCTCGTCCCCATCCTCATCACAATTGATCCCTGTGAGACGAGAATCTGGGAGCCCGAATGCTCTGCGCTTCGCCTGATGTCGCCACTCTTTCACATTCAGGGGCGGATTTCTGCGGTCATGATATGTTGCGAAACTCTGGAAAAGCGAAAAGCAATCGACGGTGGTCAGCCGGAGTGCGACCCCGGCAGTGACTCCCCCCCTCACGGTTGACCCAGCAAGCTTTCTCATAGTGGATCCATGTCAGAGCTCGAAGGAACTCTTCGGATGTCAAGGTTTCTGGCAGTGGCTGCCGATGAGAAAAGGGGGCTTGTGAGAGGTATTGTAAGCTACTGTACAGTATGGATCCTGCTTTTGTTAGAGATGAAGGAAGCGCTCCGTGGCTGTTAAGGAAGGATGAAAAAGCTGTTTGGCCAAAACGTGGCGTCCTGTTGTCAACTACGCTGAATAACTGGAAATTCTGATTGAGCTGAGCGATTGCCTCTTCATTTACATTTCCGAAATATGTCATCCTCTCGCCTACTCGCTGGAGGATACAGTTGACAGCACGCAACACGCTATATCTGAAGGTGACAGGACATATGAATTTATTATAATTATATATAATGCGTCCACTGCAGAACTATCTAGAGTGATTCTTTAAGAAAGGCTCTATTGCCGAGAATGATTTTCCTGACATTTTCATATGTGCTTCTGGTATAGATGACGGCTTTGACATTAGTGTTGTACCTTGAGGAATTGATCTTAATTTCACTGAATCTCCAAACATTGTTGTCTTGGGGGACTGACACTTATAGCCAGGGTATGGGTTACATTTGTATGAACCTGCAGTGGAAAATTACTCATTGTACATTGAAATCTATCAAATTGACTAAGGAGAGATGGTTTGCCCGTCCACTTACCTATTTCATGCTCCTCAGGATGATACTTTCATAAATAGAGTGTGGGAAAAAGACCAAGAATGTGTTGTTTCAGATGAGGTTAATGATGCGGCAAATTTTGACATTTGGGATCAAGTTGATGCGGCCCACATTTTCACCATCTACTACGAGAAATTATGTCAAGTTGGGTGCTCGGCACTTTTCATCTAGGTCATTAATAAGTTAATCTTATCCAATACAAGTGTCATAGTCCATTACACTAGTCTCATAGCGCAGTTTCGTATGAGGTCCTTGGGGCAAAATATGGCTCCTTGGCGACCTTCAATGGTTGATACCTGGTAGAGCCCATTCCGCATCAACGCATCGATTTGCATCCGCAAATTTCTGGATTTTACCAATATCCCAACCTGATACATAGGTGTTCCGCCCACGCCTGTTAAGCTCAGGTACCTTTCTTTGCCCTCGCTTAATATCACTCGTGAGCAAGCATTGTTTAGATCTCCATGAGCTTTTATATGTGAACTGAAAGCAGTCTGTGTGATTATAGCAGGTCTCAGCACAGGCAGCAAAAGACTCATGTGCTAAATTAGACTCGACCTCCAATAGCGGAACGAGAGCTGTATTATCCCAATTGTCCAGGACATCGATGTGAGAAAGTTGAAGGTATTCGAAAAGATCTCCATAAAGGAGCGATGAATTTTTCTTTTGAAGAATTCATCAGCATATGGATTGAAGGGGGAAGATTTATGAAATAACGACATACAGGGAAGCTTTTGTTTTTAGCTGCGGCGAAGTCTGAAAGTCCAGAAATATCTTGCCCCTGGGCCTTGTGGATGCTGATAATTGGAATACACCAGCTCTCCGTAGAAAATGAAAGCATATGCAATGAATGTGGATTAAACATGGGAGTAAGCCCAGTCAAAGGGATTCCCTTCCAGGCTAGTGCATAACCCAGAACTGAGTCGCCACAGCAGTCTTCCTTAATAAGAGTCTCGAACTGCTCGCTCAATCGTGGCAGATATTGCCCGTTTAATGAGTCTGTCCTCGAAACGAGCAGTTCCATTGCCGCACTAGACAGAACATAACCAGTGCCCCCGTGAGCAAACCATGTCTTCTTGCCATCTGGGAGGATTCGCCCTGGGGCTGGTGAGCCGAAATATAAAGGTAGGCTATGATTGTATTGATCCAGCAGCTGAAACACATTGTTCCAAGAAATAAAAGTATCCGCTTCGAGGAAGATAAACCACTTCGCGTTTGGGTTTTTCTCATAGGCATACTCGATCATTGGTAAGAACTTAAACTTGTCAAGCCGGTGTCCGTTGGCATAGGATATAGAGCTTGCATCGGTATCGGGCTTGTTGAGATTATCATAATCCTTAAACTCTTTGTTATGTTTTCGATACCACGAAGGCAGATTGTCAATGACATCGTGGGCATGGAAGCGTCCAATCTTCTGTTCTTTATCAGAGACCACAAGTACATTTGGAATGCACTTGGACGTATGATTCAGGTTTGAGTACACTCGATCTATTGGCTCTGATGCCCCCATTTTGAACACGACCTGGAACTCGGGTATTCTTGATGTTGGAATATTACAACATGGTACATTCTCCGCACAAGGAATTTCTTCAATCAACGATGGATTTCTGTCCATGTGCCCTAGGTATTGCCGATCCGCGCTATCTAGCATGAATGGGATTCGCGGCGGGAGCTCACTCTCATGGTCCAGAATCCATTCCCTAGATTTTTGCTGACACAGAGCAACAATCATAATTATGAATAATAAGACGAGGAAAGAAAATGTAACGATCCAACGAGAAAGTAAACGCGTGAAATGCATGGTATTGCGACCAGGAATGGAAAGATAAATTTGTACAAGCCCAGAGGCCATAGCTTTTGAGGTTATAGATTGATTCAATGATCCTGATCAGATATAAAAACAAATAGCAAGCACAGCACTTCGTATTCCTACGGTAGACAGAAGGAACACTGTCCACATGAAAAGGTGAGAATTACAGCCACTGCATTGGTCAAAGAAATACGAGAATTTGCCCCAAAACTCCACATGAATCCTTTGGCTCGTTTTCTGAGATCACTAAAATTGCCGGCTTCCAGCTGCGGTCCTAAGCTTTACTTGAATAAATAATGGTCGTTTTTGGGGATAAATAATCTTAATCATTTGTTGAGAGCTCGAGAAATCGATCAATGGTATGTCTGGTGTTGGTGCTGAGTCGGTCCAGGACAGGAACGAATGGTCATTACCCACTTGGGTAATAAACAAGGTTGAGACGATGGTCAGAAGAGCCACTGCTTACGTGCGCCAAATACACAGCGACTTCCACTGAACTTTTGCTCCAGATAACAAGATAAAATTGGGCAATGTTAGACATTGCTTTCGAATTTGTGATCGAGCTTCTCGTCTGGCCGATGCCTGGAATCATCCCTTCCAAAGCCATCATCTTTCCCGCGATGCGAGTGATTTCGCGGCTTGGATTGCCGATTTTACTGAAGATAATAAGAGATATGCAGAAGGCTGCTAAGCGTTGGGGCCGGGCAATTTGCCCATCTTTGATCGCCCCAAACTTCTAAAGGGCAACCGAGGGTCCATCTCGAGCAGCTCATTATTAGGTCTCCGGACACCTTTTAAGGAGTCGCGCTCGTCAGGTTCGACTCGATCCTCAGGTTCCACAAACAGTGCAAACATGGAATGCCGAATTTATGCATGTTTTCAAGATGTAAAATTCGTATTATATGAAGCGGGGTCTCTCGGATCGTAGCTCAAAGGGAAAATCGGGAGTCGATTATTCCGGACTAACAAGGTCTATATGGAGGAAACTAGCTTGACGAAAGAGGTATACCGCCTAACGAACGTACATGCACGTACACAACTGATTGAGTGCTTAGTCTACAATATGTGTGCGCACGTCGACTATAAGAATCTCCTGGCCTCGCTACTCAGGCCAACCATTTATCCGATCAATCCTTATCACTCCCCTTCTGAAACGGATAAACCAATAAGGCGGCTAAACTCCGAGTCGGGGAAGTCGGGGAGTCGATTATCCGGACTGCACGAGGCTATATAGGAAGAGGAACTTTAGATTACACAGAGGGTGGCATTGATATCTATAGACACCATAGATGGTAGAATGAGTGCTTGGCTATCTAGACGAGTGTGTCCGTATGAGGGATTTGTCGGCCTCGGTAATCGGACCAGCTATTAATCCACCTCGACTTTCACCACGACTCTCATCACCGGAGAAGTGGCAACAGAGATATACAGACAACAGGATGGATCGACGATGTTTGCTTCTTCACGAGAAGCACATCAGTGGAACAAATCTGCCGGAACCTTGAATGGGCACACCAGAGGGCAGAAACATGGGCAAGGAAACATGGATCAAGATTCTCTCCTGCAAAATACCAGCTCATACATGTCACTCGCTCCAGGGCGAAGTTTGATGTAACACAAGCAGTGAGAATTGGAGGCATAGAGATTAAATCCAATAAGTCAGCCACAATATAGGCATCATACTGGACCTAACACTCCAGTGGGAAGACCAAATCAGACATGTCCAAAAGAAAGCAACTCGCCTCCTAAAACCACTGGCAACACTGGCGGGAAGCACATGGGGAACAGGCCTGATACAGCTGTGCCAGATTTACCAAAAAGTGGCGCTTCCAGCACTCCTCTATGGATGCTCAGCGTGGCACATTCTCAAAACAGACAGTGATCATCGCCAGAAACGCCTTCGGACTCTAAACCAAATCCATACCAGGGCTATGGCAGCCATGGCAGGTGCTTTCAGAGCCACAGAAACAGCAACGTTGAACATAGAAACACATCAGCTACCTATGAAAGGCCTCCTGGAGAAACAGGCGCTGGGAGCGCTAACACATATTGAAACAAGTCAGTCTGGGAATCAGGTGAGGAGAGCACGCGGAGGTGAAGCCATAGGGAGCAGATGCATCTGCCCTGGTTGGCGCCCCTGGGAGTGGAGTCCACTAGAGAAAATTAGCAAACTCGCCATGCGGAGGCTAGGGCAAACCAGATTCCAGGGTTTGGAGCATATCCAACCGTACATCACGGCGCCGTATTGAAGCCCGCCAGAGGTGGTCATTGCTGAGAAAACAGAAATGCAAGTATAGAACACAACACAATAACGGCCCACGGCCAGCCAGTAACAGCAGTATACACAGATGGAAGCGGGGTCATCGGCAGAGTGGGAGCAGCAGCAGTCTGCCCAAAGCACCAGGAGGCGCGATCAGCATACATGGGAGAACAGTCGGAGGCCACAGTATATGTTGCAGAACTGCAAGGGATCCTCCTAGCTCTGGTCATTCCTATCACTCTGGGATGCGACAACTGGCCAGTGTCTGCAGACCCTACAAGTATGTGGGGTTTCTTCCCTTTTTATTGCGCCAATTATTTGTTTTTAATCTATTCATGTGGATCGTCAGCTGTCATAGTCATTGCTACTTGCACCTAATCCCATATTCCTCAGTGGGAAGTACTATGCAGTATGCAGTACGCGGTGTGTGTTTCTATGTGCAGAATAGAATATGACATGGTCTTACACTCCCAACACAGGAAAATGATATTAAAGCAAGTAACCCTAATCTTCTGTAGCCAACGCCAAGTCGCCAAAGCCAGAAAAACCAAATAGGCAAACTCAAGAAACAAACCATCTATTCAGCATCTTCATTCTCATTCCCTTCCTCCTCATTAAAGACAAAATCCTCGTCCTCGCTATCAACATCCTCACCAACGTCATTCTCGCTTTGGCTACTTGGTTGGAAGGTGTAACCGTCGCTCAAAACGTTGACATCGGCAAGCCTTTGTATAAAGAATGGAGAATCGCTGCGCAGCTGCCAACCCTGACAAACATATCCCATAGGTGTGTGTGTGATGTCCTGTCCTTGGCGACGGAGGGAGAGCCATTCGCCAAGGAAGGCGAGGGCGTTTTTGGCTGTGGTCTGGGAGTCTTCTTCGTCTTCGTGTTCATCTGAGTCAAACAGGTTGCTATGTGTACTAAAGAGTACACTCCTGTGAATGTAGTGGTATTCGGCGAATTCAAAGTAGAGTCGTCCGCCCAAAATTCCGAGTTCGAGGGGTAACCATGGAGGCGGTTTCCAGTCCTCCGGGAGAGTGGGAGTTGAGTAAAAGTCAAGACGATTTAACTCTTGCATTTTGCGAGTGACGGGGGCGGCATATACCAGAAGGTGTACAACTGGCATCCCAATCGTTCGGAGGAGAGGGATCAAGAGTTCGGCTTCTTCTGGGATGATGACGAGTGCTGTATCAGACACTGTGCTCCAAAGAATCCAATTAACTGGTCGCTGGTCGCTGTTAGCTTGTTTAACTTGTATGGTAGACGGGCTGCTTACAGTAAATTCATCAATCACTCCTGTGCTGGCAGTCTCCACTGTCCTCAGAAATTCCTGCGAAATGTAAAGACGACGTAGCAACGAAGATGGCCGAATACTGTATTTTCGTCTCAGCTGGGTCATATCTAGCGCTATAGATGCTTTGTAATATCCTCTCTTTCCATCCAGGAAGCCAGTAACGGCAAATTCACGGATCGCCTTGTGCAAACCCGGAAATTTGAGGGCCGGAAGACGGCAAGGTCGCTGCATTTCTCTCTCCTCTTCGGCCTCGAAAGCAACCTCTCGCTCTTGCTCAACTTCTTCAAGAGCCGAGCCTCTAGTTGAGCTAATGGAATGCTGTGATTGACGCTGTTGGTACTGAATATTTTTTTCAAAGCCTCTGAGTTCACCAGATAGCGTGACAGAACCGGAGTTCAACTCCTTGGGGTCAAAGGAGGCCTCTGGTGCATATAGCTCTTCTAATCCTTGCCGCTCTGCTTGCTGCAATACTGCCATGTATGCGTTCCGATGCTTTGCCCGAGAAAAGAACTGGTTCCATGTCCTTGCCGCCTGGGTACGCCGACAGAAGTCCCTTCCTTGTGCGAAATACAGCGGTTGCAGATCCTGGTTGTTAGTGCATGTCTGATCGAGCAACCAGGTAATCACATGGGTAGAGTCGAGTTTATCCGATGGTCTCTTCTTGCAGACGTCCAAAATGTTTTGGTGGACTTCTGGGGGCGCGATGAAGGTTATGGACTGCGTTGTTCCCAATTGACGCATCCGCATCGCAGCTGCTATGCATTAGCACGTATCTTATTTCACCGCAAAAGAACATTCAAATAACTTACCCTGTACAGTGTGGTCTTTTGTCTGGTTCAAGCCTAGCGTTAATGCCCCCTTGGCTTCAGCCGGCAACTTCAAATCCGTGCCTCGAGTATGCGCCTCATCCAAATAAACCAAGCAATGATCCAAATTCTCCGCAAAAGGAGTCGCAATTAATGGAGCTGTATTGCCAGCTCTGTACTGAACCCAAGCTTTGTTATCAGATCCAAAATAGACTGCGCCCTGGGCTTGGGGATCCACCCGCAGCCATGACTTGGCCAAGGACCGATTATCCATCTCCAAAATAAATGCACCGGCATCAATGAGGACACGAGTTTCCTTTTCACAAAGATGGTTCAGAAGCTCGAGCTCCGAGAATCGTCTTCCAACTTTGTTGGCCAATAGCACATAGCCCCTGTTTCTCTTCTGGAGAAGATACGTCAGTACTTCGGCATTGGTATGCGATAGGCCTGACAGGTCATGCTGTTTAATTGTCATTGGAAGTAAGCGCCTGTTGTCATTTGTGCCACTGAAACCGGTCGTGATTCCCGGCCTGTTACCGGTCTCATCTGCCCACTGTCTGTCAACGGAGAACAGAGGAATATCCCATCCAGACGCCTGGATTTTGACGCTGAACTGCTTTGCATGACCCGGGAAAACACTGTGATTAAGGAAGTGGTTGATTACAACGGTTGAAAAGCGTAAGTGGCGCCATATCTCTTCAACCTGCCCTTCATCATCGACGTTGATAATATTCCAGTAGCGCAGGGCATCCGGAAGCGAGGCTGAGGTCTGCGTCCACTGGTCATATTCAGTAGTAGGATCATCTGACTTCAAAATGGCTTGTAGACTTTCTCGAAGCTGCTTTTTGTTCAGTCCCTCATAGTAGAACGCAAGGCATGTGAATAGGATGACGACATCGGGATGACCCCATTCAGCTTGCTCAGAAGGAACGCCTTTTGCATGGAAAGGAACAGCTACAGGGTCTCGGCCATGGTGCAGTCCGTACTGCACACTCCAACGTTTTTTCAGACAGAGAAGGAGGATGCCATGTACGAGGAGACCACGCAAAAGATACACCATCTTGCGGGTATTCGGTGCACCGGGGAATAATTTTGAGACCACGTTAATGACATGTCGTTCCACCATCTCCTGTGAGATGAAGACTCGGATTACCTGCTGCTGTTCCTTCGTGCAGCCTCGAGTGGGAAGTATTGATGTTCGTCCAGCACATATATCGTCCACAATTCTCTGTATAAGAGTATTTTCAACATCACTTCGCAAAAAGTATACAACAGGAAACTCTGTAGCCGCTCGTTCTATCACATCAATGCTCTGAGGGAATTCCTGCGCCAGATCTCGCAGATGATGTGCGACCAAACCAAGTATCGTCTCGGCGACTTTCCATCTGTGTGGGTGTCCATCAACAGCTAACTGTGCACCGCTTGGATAAATGAGTTGAGTCTTTGTGGCAAGGGTAAAATCGCATTCATCCAAAATATCACGGCACACCCGATCCATCCAACTTTGGATGGCAACCATCTGGTACGCTTCAGAGGCCTTACAGTCGGACAATCGCTGCAGACCGCACAGTTTGAAGGACAGGACATGCTCTGGTATAGTCAGCATAATACCGGCTGACTGCATCGTATGATCATGAAGATTGTGGTACTCCTGGATGTGTTGCTGTGTTGTTGGTGTCCGACGTGAGAACGGTATATGGGTTACTTCTCTGCCCAGAAAACCACCAAGTCGCAATTGGAGGATTTGCGCCGTCTGCGACAGCAACGCTTTGGGAACCAAAAGTCTGGTGAGCTTCTTTTTGTCCGCAAGCACGCATGCCACCATTGGAGTGATTACTGAAGTTTTCCCCTGTCCCATGTTCATCTGCAAAACGGAATTGGTGCCCGATGATGGTGAGATCATTTCCAGTGCGACTGTAACTTGGTCCTCTCGAATTTGTATGTTGGAGTCAATTTCCAAAAGCAGCCAGTCAGGGTAGAAGAATGGATCCCAGTTAACGTGGCCGGGGTTGTTGTACTCTTGTCTGAACCTCCCCTCATCATTTTTCAGCAAGGCGTCCATCATCCGTAGCAGATGCTGCACTTTGACGATTGATTTGGCGTACTCAGAGACCATTCTCTTCATATTTCTGCCAAAGATACAATTGGAATTAGACCGCAGGTGTTCAAGTAGCGATATCGGTGTCATGGAAGGCCAAAGGTTTGCTTGAAGGAGCCAAGGGCATCTCGGATCATCAACTACAAGTGTGTTGATTAGGGAATGATAGCGTTCTTCAAGCACCCTATAAGCCTTATCAATCTCAAATTCAAGGTTAATATTCACCAAAGGCGTCTCTGTAAGATTTTTATTCCTTTTTTTGAGTGCATTGACGCTTTGCCCTAGGTCGCTGCCATATATGGACCTCACAGGACAGTCCGAATGGCGA